ACTAAGAGTAGCTGTAGATAATATTACATCTGTGGGATGATTATTGGTAATTTTTTCTCTAATGATAAAAATTTTATTTTTATTACCATAGCAACAACTTCTCTGTAAAGTACGCACACAGACACAGGTGGAGTTTTAGCAGATTTTAATAAAAAATACAAAACGCAGTTTTTAAATGTTTCATCAAAATTCAACGATTTCTGACAACATGATCAACTGAATGTGTTTGAATAAAACTGTGTTTTGTGCGTGTTTGATTTGTGTTGATGTAAACATGTAAACATGGTTTATATCACTCACACAAGGAGGAGATGGACTCACTGCCATATCGTCTTTTTGATATGTGAAGGTTTATTAAGGACGTGATGGAAATAAAGAGATTAATATTACATGTTGTCACATTCATGATACAATCTGATCTGTACAAGAACAGGAAGTGTGTTTAAGGAGACTCAGCTCAAAGAAAAAACTCAAAATCATTTAAAAGAATGCAAGATTGCTACACACACACACACACACACACACTCAGACACACACACACACTCAGACACACACACACGATCTCTAATGACGTGATGGTTAAACATGAAATCAGCTCCTTCCAGCAGGACTTAAGTGTCAGTGCCAGTTTCCTTTCCTCCATCCTCTTCTGGCGTGGGGGGCGGGGCTTCTCCTTTTGTTTCTAATTTCCTTCGTCACCATCGTCCAGCAGGAAGTCACTGATCTCCTCTCTCATCTGAGACCTACAGAGCACAACAACAGTCAGCCCTGCAGTCTCACTGTAGATGCAACATCTGTATTTCTAAGCTTCACCAAAGAAACCACAGCTGGCCGACAGACGATCATACAGAAGTGGAAACGATGCGATTTGGAACAACGTTGTTTGGTGAGAACGAAACAGGAAACAGCATTACATCCTTGTGATGCTTCTTCACACATCAGCACGTTGTACCTGTGGTCAGGTTAACTAACACAGACTGCTTTCAGGGCGGGCGACTGCGAAGAGGACAGCGAGACAGACGCAGCTCAAACTGTTCAACACACGCTGAAATTTCCCAAAGCCACCGTAAATATGACATCATACTTTACATCATGTGTACAGTGTCAGTATCACGCAGGAAGGTCTGCAAACTGCACTCAGAGTGAGAAACTGTTCCTAACGATGCAAACGCAGTCAAAGAAGAGTGAAACAAACTTCCCACCTCCTTTGCCTCCTCTGAGCCTCTGACAGGATGTACTGAGGGAGGTGATCCACTGTCGACTGCAAAGGAAACAAACATCTGGATGTCACATCTTCACACTCTGATCAGTTCATACCAAACATGGTGTGTGCTGCTCACGGTCTTCCTGTTCGCTGCAGCGCGCTGATGACTAAGTCACAGGTGTGTGTTTGAAGTGTTGCTACTTGATGCCACAACTCCAATAAATACAAAAACACCAGTGACCCCGCTCTGCCTGACCTCACTACAGTGGACAGCTGATTTCGTGTATTTGTGTTGATGGTTCACTTGGATGGACACTGATGTTCACTCCAACACATCAGTGTCCATCCAAGTCTTTGAAAAGTACAAATTCAAAGATCTGTTTTACGCCTAAAGAAGAATAAAGGTCGTCATAATTCATGCATGAAAGGGTCAAACACGTCACCACTCACCATGTCTCTGACAGTCAGTGCACAGCTGTAACACAACAGGCTCTGCAGACGTGTTGTTTCTGGTAGCCTGTAACACAAGTGCAACACAGAAACCTCAGCTGTGAGCACCCACAGGGACGAGTCCACAGTCGATGCTTCAGCAGACGAGACGATGCACAGAAGAAGAAACGTGAATGAAGTTTCTCCCAGTTTACTTTTAAAACTCGACTGAACATCTGATGAAATCCATCCTACAGGATATAAACTCAAACACTTTGTAGCAGGTACGTGTGAATAAAGCACGGAGAACCTTTAAAGTGTTCAAATGACAGCATGCTGCCAGTGTAATAGATTACTCTGTAATGTTCTTATACCTACAGAGGGGCCTGTGGTTACAATTATCTCAAACCTGAACGTGCCTAGCTGTTAGCAGTTACAGATCAATCTAAGCTAAGAAGAGAAGGATCGATCTTAGTTCTTATTTTGAAACATCACAGCATTCTCAAAATAAGCAGGAGTTAAACTAGAGGATACCAAGCAGCCGGGCCAGTGTCCAAACTGACAGCAAACAAGATTATCTCTTATATTACCGACTCTCGTCAAAGCACCTCGTGGATGCACCTCGTACAGTTTAGCAAATATCTGCCACACATGTCTGAAAAAGAGCTTTTAGGGTAATAAATCCGACACAGGAAATAAACACTTACTTCGCAGAGGAACAGCAACCTCCATCACCTCCTGGTCTCCCGCAGCCCCGCCCTTCTGCAGAGGAACAGCAACCTGCATCACTTCCTGGTGTCCCGCAGCCCCGCCCTTCTGCAGAGGAACAGCACTGTGCGGTGGGAGCCGGCGACTCCGGCCTCCCTGTTTAACAGAAACGTCGTAAAAACACAGCTTTGCATCCATGTAAACTGGAGCTTGTTCAGGTCTAAAGCAGTCACTGTACCCGGCTTTGGCCTCAGCGTTTCAGCAGCGCCGCCTCGCTTAGACCCGGACAGCTGATCTGAGATGAGCGTGGCCTGGAAGGCCGACGCCTCCTCTG